GATGGCACATAACAACAACAACAACATGCAGATGATAGGATAGTATACTTAGAAAATAATAAAAGACTCAGCAAGAAAACTATTGGACACAGTTGACCAATTCAGCAAAGTAGCAGGATACAAGATCAACATACAAAAATCAATTGGATTTCTCTACAGTGACAAAGAGAATACAGAGCCGGAGCTAAGAAAAACAATACCCTTCACAATAGCTAATCACAACATTAAAAACTTAGGAGTAAATCTAACCAGAAGCACAAAGGATCTATTCAAAGAAAATTACAAAACATTACTCCAACAAAGAAAAAGAAACCTGGAGAAGTGGAAGAATATCCCTTGCTCATGGATAGGAAGACTCAATACTGTGAAAATGGCAATACTACCAAAGACAATTTATACGTGCAATGCAATCCCAATACAAATACCAATCCCATCCTTCAACAAGATAGAAAAGGTAATCTCCAATTGTGGTGATTAAGACAGCATGGGACTGGTGAAATGACAGACACATAGATCAATGGACTAGAACTGAGAACCCAGAAATCAGCCCATCTACCCACGGTCAACTGATTTTTTTACAAGGAGATTAAATCACTTAGTGGGGAAACGACAGCCTTTTTAACAAATGGTGTTGGCAAAATTGGAAAAATATCTGCCGAAGACTCAAGCAAGATCCAAACCTCACTCCATATACAAAAACCAATTCAAGGTGGATCATGGACCTAGGACAAAAACCAAGGACTATAAACTTCCATTAAAGAAAAGCTTGGAAGAACTCTAGTAGTCCTAATCCACAACATCTTGCAAGTATCCTGTAAAATCTACAACCAGGAGAAGATAAAATAGATGAATGGGACCTTCCAAGAATCAAATCCTCCAACAGGGTAAAAAGGAAAGCCACAGACTGGGAGAAAGTATTTGGTAATGACATGTCAGATAAGGGACTTATATCTAGAATTTATAAAATACTTCAGCACCACAAGATAAAGGTAAATAATAGAAAAATGGGCACAGGATATGAACAGACACTTCACCAAAGAAGACATTAAGATGGCCAACAAGCACATGAAGAAATGTTCAAAATCGCTAGTTCTAAGAGAGATGCAAATTAAAACTACTATGAGATATGTAAGATATAGTCTCACCCCAGACAGAATAGCAAAATTTAACAGAACAGCAAGCAACAAATGCTGGTGAGGTTGTGGAAACTGGAACCCTTTTCACTGTTGGTGGAAGTGTAAAATGGTTTAACCACTGTGGAAAGCAATATGTTGTTTTCTCAAAAAGTTACAAATAGAGATACCATTTGACCCAGCAATTCCACTACTGGGAATATACCCTAAAGAGACCATAACCACCATCCAAGCAGATATATGCACACCCATGTTTATCACGGCTTTGCTCAAAATAGCAAGGAGTTGGAAACAACCTAAGTGCCCATCAACAAATGAATGGACAGAGAAAAAAAAGTTGTGGTATATTCACACAATGGAAGACTATGCTGCATTGAAAAACAAGGAACTCATGCAATATTATTCAAAATGGGTGACCCTGGAGGACATTATGTTGAGTGAAATATCTCAGTCACAAAAAGACAAAAACTGCATAGTGCCACTGTTGTAGAATGGGACTGACATCAGCGTTGGGATAAGACTGAGAAAAACTGGATAAATTATGTAAACTGCATTGTAACAGATAAGAGAGAGAACATTTTAAAAGTGTTATGTGATAGGGTATTATGGTTATCACAAGAGTCCAGAATGAAGGTTGC